AATAAGTAAAAAATATATATATATGTAAAGTAAATAAGTAAAAAAGTAAATATCAACTTGGGGGGTTCTCTGGTTACAGGATATGTATATGAAGCTCTGGTTTGATCCCCATCCTCTGCCAAAACAAAACAAAAAACCTACAGCAGACATTTGACTCTACGGGATCTTCCCATACGGCTCCAATCATCAGTACTTCTTTAAGCCTCGATTTCCAAAGCCTTAGCCACTTAGGCCGTCCCTCCAACTGCCTCACTTCTCACGCGTCCTCATATCCATCTGTGCGAGTTCTCTTGGGTGAATGAGAATAAGATGTCTATTTGTCCAGATAGGACTAACGACAGCTCATAGAAACAAGCCCACGCAAGGGGCTGGGACGACAGCGCCAAGAGAAAGCATGTGGACATGAATTTGATCCCCAAAGTCACGTGGAAAAGCAGGGCATGGTGTTTAAAATCTCAGTATCGGAGAGGTGGAGGCAGGCGGCTCCCTGGACTCATTGGGCAGCCAGCATTACTGATTCGGAGACAAGCTGGGAGGCTCGGGAGATAAGCTGTTGGGCAAGATCGCTCGCTATGAAAGCTGAAAGCGTAAGGACCTGAGTTTGAATCTTAAGCACCGGAGTTAAAAAGCTGGGCGTGTCCACGCGCAGGCACCTGCAACAGCAGCTCTGTGGGAGGCAGAGACACAAAGACATCTGAAGCTTGCTGGCTGCCGGCCTGGCTCCAGGTTCAGTGAGGGAGACCGCGGAGAGTGACAGAGCGGGACTCCATGGGTGCACAAACCAGGACACACACACGCTCCCCACAAGAAAAGGATAAGACTAAGGTGGATGGCGTTCCTAAGGAACACGTGAGGTCTTCATGAATCTGTACATGTGTGTGTGTGTTCATCTGTACCCACACACCCACCCACATACACATTGGAACAAAGAAACAACTTGGACCAGGTGTGGTGGCGCCCATCTTTGACCGCAGCACTCAGGAGCCAGGGGAAAGAGGATCTCTGTGTGTTGGAGGCCAGCCTGGTCTGCACAGCAAGTTCCAGGGCTACTTAGAAAGACATTGTCTCAAAAAAAGAAGTTCACTCAAGTCTAGTTTGGTAAAGTGATGAATTTATAGGAATTTACTAGGTAGCATGGGTGACAGCCATCAAAGGTCACATCCCTGGTGCTCCCTGTCCAGGTTGCAGGCAGCTCCACCAGAGTCTCCTTTCCCTAGCTGGTGTGAGCTGCCTATATAAGCCTGGGAAGGGTCCTGTGGGACTTGTCGCTTTTATAAGCACTCTGAGCCTGGCAAGTTTCCTTGGCTTCTTTAGTCTCCTGATGCCCTCTCCTCCCTCCTGCAGGAAATGCTTCCATTCGGAGGACACAGCTATGCACAATTCCTCTCTTAGCCTCCTCTCAGCTCCTTGCAAACGGTTTAGACAAGGCTCCCAGGGCCTCTGTCTGTGTTGCTCAGCCCCATGCATATATCTCCGAGAAGTCTTGGTCCATCTATCTGCAGCACTGACCGACTGTTCTTTTGCATTCCCTACTGAGAACACTTTTGGATTCTGGAACCCCACATTCTCCTGATTGAGACAATCAGCTCTCTGGCTTCCGCTTTGGCAGTTTCTACAGTGCCTGACCTCTAAATGTTGGAGTACCTTAGAGGTTGGTATTTGGTCATTTTGTCTTTTCCTGAGCCTTTTTTTTTCTCTCTTTGAAATGACTTCATCTGCTTGAATGTGCCACTCACTCTTGGGGCTCTATTCCAAGCAAGATTTCTGTGCTGAATTCCAGACCAGTTTCTACACCACACAGTGGACATTCCTCTCGGTGCGTCAAACCTAAAACTTACCTTCCTCCTCAAGAGTTCCTTCTCTCACATATATTGTGTTCCCTAACACGGTGAGGGAAGAGAATCGATAAAAATTAAGCACCATGGCATGCATGTATGAAAATGCCATAATGGAATCCATCTTTCGGTTCGTCCCTTCAGGTCATGTGATTGTCAATCTCGAGTGTCAACTCGATGAGAATAGAGGATCTCCTGGGGAACAAGGTTCTAGGAGTGTCTGTCAGGGTGTTTCCAGAAAAATTTAGGGGAAGTGGGAAGACCCACTTTTAGTGTGGAAGGCATTATCGCATGAACTGAGGCCCTGGACTGAATAAAATGGAGTAAGCGAGCGAGCACCTCATGCTCTCTGCTCGCAAGCAATGTGACCAGTTCCTTGTTCCCCCACCGTTAAGCTTTCCCCTCTAATTGCAAGCCCAAATAAACCCTTCCTTTCTTAAGCTACTTCCGTCATAACTACAGCAAAGCAACTGATACAAGGCATCCACACTCAGTTTTCTTTCCATGCCCATCTTCCATCTTTCTCCTCTATAGTCCACAGCTTCCTTGCAAGGTGAGGGGCTGCACCCTCAGTGCTTACAACAGAGCCTTTCAGAAGACGAGTGGGGTCAGTCAACATTGGTTGAGTGAGCGAAAACAGGGAAGCCCATTAGCTTGGAAATGAGAGGTGGCAGTGCAGCAGAGGCCGGCTTTAGCTCCTTAAGTGGCCTCAAGAAAGACACTTTGCCCCTCTGTACTTTGAGGAAGCTGAAGTAAAACTATAAGGTCCTTTCTAAATTCTAATGTTGACTCTATTATCTGTATATGTCATAGAATTCATAAGTCCATAGATGTGCAATCTGAATAATGAATGTTGTTTAAAAAAAAAAGAAAAAAAAGCTGGCGGGTAGTGGTGGCACACACCTTTCATCCCTGTACAAGGCGGGCAGAGGCGGATAAGTGAGTTTGAGGCCAACTTGGTCTATAGAGGGAGTTCCAGGACAGCCAGATCTGCACAGAGAAACCTTGTCCTAAGAAAAGAAAGAGAGAAAGAAAGGAAGGAAGGAAGGAAGGAAGGAAGGAAAAAGAAAGAAAGGAAGAAAGAAAGAAAGGAAGAAAGGGCTGAATGAGTACTGCTGTTTTTGGTATTTGCCGTGTACTTTTGAGACAGGGCGTTGCTATGCCGGTCTGTAGCTACAAGTGTGGGCTACCACTTCTGATGACCAGGAGTTTTTAAGTGGGCAGTGGTGGGTGGTGTCTTCCTCAATTACTCTGCGCCTTAGGTTTATTTTATTTATGTATATAAATATTTCACTTGTATGTTTGTGTGTGCCTTGCTTGAGCTGGTGCACCAGAAGAGGGCATTTGATTCCCTGGAACTGGAGTTACAGAAGGTTATGAACCACCACGTGGCAACTGACCCCAGGTCCTTTGGAAGAGCAGTACGTGCTTTTAACTATCGAATCATCTCTCCAGCTCTCACCTTAATTTTTGAGACAAGACATCTCACTGAACCTAGAATTCCCTCATTGAGTTAGACGGGCTGCCCCAAGTTCAGTCTCTGCCTCTCAAGTGTTGGGACTATAGGCATGGCCATTGTGCCTGGATTGTGTTTTAGGGTATCAAACTCAGGTCTTTGTGTTTGTATGGCAAGAACTTTGCCGACTGAGCCATCATCCCCCAAGTCTCCCCTACACACACACACACACACACACACACACACACACACTTACTTTTTGAGACAGGGTCTCATGTAGCCCAGGCTAGCCTCCAACTCAATATGTAGGTGAAGACGAATGTGAACTCTTTTTTTAAAAAATATTTATTTATTATGTATACAATATTCTGTCTGTGTGTATGACTACAGGTCAGAAGAGGGCACCAGACCTCATAACAGATGGTTGTGAGCCACCATGTGGTTGCTGGGAATTGAACTCAGGACCTTTGGAAGAGCAGGCAATGCTCTTAACCTCTGAGCCATCTCTCCAGCCCAAATGTGAACTCTTGATTCTTCCGTCTCTATAACTGTCCACAAAATCCACCACAGCCTATTTTGAATAGTGTGTTTTAATTCCCTAAACTATGAGGACGGTCTGAAGGTCATCCGACAACTTGAACTTTCCCGAAACACTTTCACAGTCTATGGGGATGAGTCTCCCAACAATCCAGGAGACTTAAGGATAATCGTCAACACACTCATTGAACAGATTTGGAAACTAAGGCTCATTCTTTTACGATGCTCTCCTGGTGGAGGTGCTTCACGGTCACACAGTCAAGTTATTAAAGCTGCCTGAGATTGTAATCTCAGTCGAGTCCGTAATCAGGATTGTGTAGGATTAATAAACCAAAGTATAGGCTGAAGAGGTGGTTCCGTCGATAGAGTGTTTGCCTAGCAGGCTTGAAACCCTGAGTTCTACCCTGCATAAACCGGGCACGGTGGCGCATACATTCCGATCCCGGCACTGGGTAATCAGAAGCAGGAGGATTTGTGAGGTTAGGGTCATTCTTGGCTATGTAGTTAGTGGGCTCACGATACAAAAAGCAAACACCTCTAGGCTTGCAAATCAATGAATATAGACAGTTATTGCCGCGGTATGAGGACTAGTCTAGGAAGCCTATAACCCCCACAGGGCTGCGCTGAAGAATTATTTGGGTGTTATTCCCTCTAACTGCATTTTCTGGGCTCCTAGCGGTCACCAACCGCTTTTTCTTTCTTTCTTTCTTTCTTTCTTTCTTTTTTTTTTTTTTTTTTTTTTTTTTTTTTGCCCCTCTGTCCTACACCGGTTGGGACTTCTCTAGCTCCGCCTCCGGGAAGGGGCGTGGCTCCCCACGTAGGGGCGTGGCCAAACCGAGAACTGGGCCTTCAAGCCTCCAGTCTGGAGCCGCCCAACGGTGGGGGGGGGGGGGGGAGAAGAATCGAAGGAGGTCGGTCACGTGACCGGAGAGGCCTTTTTTTTTTTTCTTTCACCCTCCCCTATGCCTATACCACCTCTGCTGTCCTTAGGGAGGATGGCTTGCTCCTTTTCAGGAAGAGAACTCCTGACTGTGCTCCCCGATGAGTTGGAAAGCCACGAGACTGGGCTCGTACGGTGACCGAGTCGGGTTTTGCCCCCGAGGCGGTGTTCCCGCGTCCCGACTCCCCCCACTCACCGGCGCAGTTGGTCTCGCCCAGCCTGGCCCTGGGCGCGGCGGCGGCGGCCGCGTCACTGGCGGGCGGGATCCCTCCGCTCTGGGGAGAGCTGCGCTGGACGGTTGAGTTGGGGTGACTGAGGAAATCCATCCGCGTCGCCGCCGCTGCCGCCTCCGCCGCGGAGGAAGACAGGACCTCCCGCGCTCCTGCAAGCGACCCCTTGGCAGAGTCCCACCACCTCAGGTACCTCCGCTGACAAAAGGAGTCCTCATCGCCCCCAGCCCCAAATTCCCACGGGGGTGTGTGCGGCAGGAGGAAGCCCCCGTTCCTTCCGTCTCCCGGGTTTGGCTCTTGGGAAACGGACGTAACTCCCCAGACCTCCCCTCCCTTCCTCTGGCCCGGTCGTTTCCAAACCCGGAAGGGGAACTGGGGGACCCTCGGCTTCAATAATGCATGCGTTCCCTGCGGTATCAGTGGCATTTTTTTTTTGACCCTAAACCCCTGTCCCAGCCCCGCCTGCCTCTTGCTCCCTTAATAGCTGGGGGGCTAAATTCCGGGTTTCTTCTAGCCCCGTCCCGCCCCCTTTCCCCCCCACCACCCCGCTGCCTGCCCCGGGGTAGCAACCCCTCGTGCCCACTCGTTTCACACCCTTGCTTACTGTAGACTTGCAGAACTTCAGAATCCTAGGTGGTACAGCCAAGGCCTCAAGGCCACCGTTGCCTTCGTCTCCACCCTACTGTCTGTCTCTTGATTTGGGCTCTGGCTGTGGTTTCTGAGTCCTAGACACTAAACTGGAGATCTCAACACCTTATTGTTATTATTATTATTATTTTTTTTTTTTACAAATCCCTACCCCAAGTCTAGCCCCTAGTCGCCTGTCCCCTTTGCCCAGCTTTCTTTTGGGCAAAATGGAGGTCCTAGGAACTGGAGGGCCTGGCCCACAGCACTTCGCAGCTCAGCACCAGCCTGCGCCTTCCAGCTGCCAGATCTGAGGACCCTTGCTTGTCTCCTGTCACACCTGCGGAGGTGGTGGCACCCCTTTTTTTGTTTGGGGGCTGTGGATGCTTAATTCCTAGCATCTAGGCGCTGCTGAGGGAATCTTGGAGGGTAATGGGGAATCTTAGGGCTGGGAGCATGGCCCCCGACCCAGTGGCTTCTTCGTGGCCTGTTTTCCTTCTGCCCCAGGCCTGTGTCATTGCGGCTAGACCTGGGCTGCTGGAAGCTGGGAGGAAGGGGCTTTTGTCCACAGCTGGAGCAGGGTGGTAGCTGTGTCGTTGCCCCCTCCCATCTCATTTTGGAGGGGCATCCCCTGGCACTGGCGTAGAAACCTGAACTCAGAGGGGGAAATATCTCCGGGGAAGAGGAACGCCCAGTGGTTGGGGGAAGTGGGAGCTGGGTGGGGGACGCCTAGGTCGCCAGAGTGCAGTGTGCACGGCCAGATCGCACAGGTGTCCCGGGGAAGGCAGGACGTCGGAGGCTGGAGCCGTGCCAGCTAGGCCTCGGGGGCTCCTGGGCGCAGAGCTGGGCTCTTGGGGTGCCTAGGGACATCGGGCCAAGCCGTCTGGGGCCGCTTGCCGGCGCCTAGGAGAGAACAGCTCCTGGGACCAGGGGCCTCTCTTCGGAACCCTAATTACTTCTGAGCGGCTTCCCACGGGCTTTGTGCGGGCGCGGCGGGGCGGGAGACCTCGGTGCCGAAGGGAGCAGGCTGTTTGGGGGCTTGCCTTCCCGCTACTCCCAGCGGCTAATGGGGTGCAGCCGGCCCGGAATGGGGATTATCCCTGGTTGAGCCGTCCCGAACCTATTAGTGTTCAATCGGCTTTTCCCAAATCCTGTAAACAGCCATCCTGGCGGGTTCTGGGGAAGAGGCAGGAGACTAGGTCGGGCGGGGGCGATGGGGGCCGGGGGTGGGGTCACCCACCCTACAGGTCTCTGCCGCTGATGCGGTTGCCTTGGCAACGAGGCTAGGGTGGGGGCACTTCACCAATGAGGTGCTCTCAGTCCGGGTGACGGTTGCCTAGGCAACCCCACGAACAGCCTAGCTTCTCCCCTCAGCCCCCCCCCCCATCACCACCTCTGTCTTAGCTGGGGGTGTGTGCGGAGGGTGTGCGGTGTGTGGGTGTGGGGGTGAATTTAAAGAGGCACCGCCCCTTTTTAAAATTAGGTGCTGGGAGGGCGGCGCCTTGTGCGGGCTGGGGCGGACGCCAGGTCTGTTTTCGAAGGGACTCCCCCCCCCCCATCCCCAGTTCCTGCCGCCCGAGTGTCCCGCCCGGGCTGCTTGCTGTCCGAGGGAGGGGTTTCCCCTGCTCTTCCTCTTGCACTTCCCACTCTGTTTCCGGGGGCCCGGGAGGAAGATTGGGGAAGTCGTCTGTTCCTTGGCAACGTCTCTTGGGTGCCAGAGACCCCATTCCTGCCCCGGGTACCGCGTCCTCTGCTCCCCCTGCCCTGCTGACCCCTTCCGGGCCACGGGCTTCCACCCCGCCTTTCCCGGCTGCTTCCCGGGCGGTCTTGGGGCCTGACGTCAGCCTTGCATCCCCCCCCCCTCCCAGGCCTCGGGCCAGCGGCCAGGAGCTGCCTCCCCCAGCCCCCGTCCCGCGGCCCCCAGCCGCCCCCAACCCCGCCCCACGGGCCCGGCGCCATGAGTGAGCTGGAGCAACTGAGACAGGAGGCCGAGCAGCTCCGGAACCAGATCCGGGTGAGGGCCTGACGACTGTGCTGGGGAGGCCGAGCCGGCCAGGCGTGGCTTGAGTGTGCTGCTTCCCTTTGACCTGAGCAGACTGGGTTGCCTGTGGCCGGGGATGTGTGTGTGTGGCTGTGTGTGTGTTTCGCAGGGTGAGAGAAGAAAGGGGATCCTAACCTCCAAATGTCTCCGTTTCATCCTCTCTTCCCTTTGCCTTGTCTCCTCTTTTCCTTTACTTTTTCCTCACCTCCCCCACTTCTCTACTTCCCTTCTCCTGCTCTGCCCATCACTTACAGGACGCCAGAAAAGCATGCGGGGATTCCACACTGACCCAGGTGAGGTGACTGCAGAGTTACTTGGGGGCCCTTGAAGGGACAGGAGATTGGATGGGCTTCTGTTGCTTGAGTCTCCTTGTGCCAATACAGCTTCCCTGTTGTTCCAGATCACAGCTGGGCTGGACCCAGTGGGGAGAATTCAGATGAGAACACGGAGGACCCTCCGTGGACACCTGGCAAAAATCTATGCCATGCACTGGGGGACAGACTCAAGGTGCGTGGGTGGCCTCTGCCTTAGTGTCTCCAGGCTCTGGGGGTGATTTTACATAAAGGGCAGAATGGTATGGGGGGACTCCAGGTCCCCCCAGGTCTGGTGGGGAGAATCTATGTTAGTTAAGTTTGGACAGACTGATTCCCAGCATCCCTCGGGGACCAGGGATGCAGGATTATACTGAGAGGATTTGGGGAATGTTTCTGAAGAGTGTCTCTAGATGGGAAGGGATAGGGCCCTGTGTTGTTCACACCCTGACCTTGTCTGTGTTGCCCTGCTTCTGCCCACCAGGCTGCTGGTCAGCGCCTCCCAGGACGGAAAGCTCATCATTTGGGACAGCTACACCACCAACAAGGTAAAATTGGCACTGGAAGTGGGTAGAATAGGGCTGCCAGTCCCTGGATGGCTCTAACTAGGGGTGATGTTCTCCTCTAGGTCCATGCTATCCCTCTGCGCTCCTCCTGGGTCATGACCTGTGCCTATGCCCCCTCAGGGAACTTTGTAGCCTGTGGGGGTTTGGACAACATCTGCTCCATCTATAGCCTCAAGACCCGAGAGGGCAATGTCAGGGTCAGCAGAGAGCTGCCTGGCCACACTGGTGAGTGGAGCCTGAAGGAGAGGCAGGAACACAGCCGGGAGGGCAGACAGTATGGCCTCTCTGATAAATGTCTGACTACAACTTCCTTTCCCAAGGGTACCTTTCATGCTGCCGCTTCCTGGATGACAACCAAATCATCACCAGCTCTGGGGATACCACCTGGTGAGGCTCTGCCAGGCTGGGTTCCCTGCCTTTGGGTGGTCCAGGGCCCAGCAGGTGGCAACATTTCTGAGCACTTAGCTTCCTCCCCTGGGTGGGGGCCAAGTGGCTCCTGCACCACTTAGGGCCCCAGGCCTTCTTTCCAGAGAGCCCTGTCAGGTTTGGGTTCATGTGGCAGGAGAGTCAGGGATTCTATCCTTCAACTCATTTCTGATCCTTCTTCTTGTCACCTCTCCAGTGCCCTGTGGGACATTGAGACAGGCCAGCAGACGGTGGGTTTTGCTGGACACAGTGGGGATGTGATGTCCCTGTCACTGGCCCCCGATGGCCGCACCTTTGTGTCAGGTGCCTGTGACGCCTCCATCAAGCTGTGGGATGTTCGGGATTCCATGTGCCGACAGACATTCATAGGTCACGAATCTGACATCAATGCCGTGGCTGTAAGTTGGGAGCATTGTGACAGCCTCCTGTGCTCCATGCCCCTGGCCTTGCCCAACATGCTTATGGTCTCTGGTCCACATCTTGCAGTTCTTCCCCAATGGCTATGCCTTCACCACGGGATCAGATGACGCCACATGTCGCCTGTTTGACCTGCGGGCTGATCAGGAGCTGCTCATGTATTCCCATGACAACATCATCTGCGGCATCACCTCGGTTGCCTTCTCACGCAGCGGCCGGCTGCTGCTCGCGGGCTATGATGACTTCAACTGCAACATCTGGGATGCCATGAAGGGTGACCGTGCAGGTAAGGGAGGCCTGTGCTGGGGCCCACAGAGGGGACAGGTATACCATGTGGGCCAGACTAGTCCCTATGTCCTTTTCTTTTCTAGGTGTCCTTGCTGGCCACGATAACCGTGTGAGCTGCCTTGGGGTCACAGATGATGGAATGGCCGTGGCCACAGGCTCCTGGGACTCCTTCCTCAAGATCTGGAACTAACCACCCCCAACCCCAGATGGGCCAAGGCAGGGAGCAGCATCCCTGCCCATGCCCACACTACAGGCCTGGAGCTTTGGGGCTGGGTACACATGCCAAGCCTCCCTCCCTGGGCTACAGGGCCTTGGGTCCTGCTCCTATACCCAGGTTTGGTTCCTCCCGGGGCGGGGGGCCCCCACTGTAGAGATAAAAGTCGGGATGGAATAGGGGAAGCAGAAGGGCAGGAAAGCCCTCACCCTTTGCTGCCCTGGGGCTGGGGCCTCACCCCTCTGGAGGGCCAGAGGCAGGAGGTGGAAACTCCAGGGGCTGGCTTTTTTAAACTGGTTTTATTTTAATTTTTATTATATTTTCAGTTTTTCCATAAAGGAACCACTTCCAACTCTGTACGTAGTCTCCTTGCTTGCTATCCCCTCCCCCACAAAGCAGGCAGGCAGTGGGTATGAGGCTCCTCCAAGCTGTAAACAGAGGGTATTCTACACAAACCTGAGGCCAGCAGTTCCCAGAGACAACCCTACCCAACTCTGCCCCTGCCCCCTGCCGTGAAAAAGCCAGCAGACAGGATGGGTTGGGAGAACACACCAAGTTTTATTGGGAGTATTTACATGGGTAGGCAGAAGGGAAGTCACACTGGGTAGAGGTAGGGGTAAACTGGGGCACACAGGACACCTACCCTACCCTGAACCCCAAGAGGGGGTGGAGCAGCTAGGGCCCTGTAAGACTGGGACGGAGAAAGGATTAAGATGGGGGTGGGGTGGGGTGTCTGAGCCCCTGGGGTAGGGGCTCAGGGCTTGTAAACATTTACCACTCTCAGAGGGGATGGGGTGGGAGAGGGCTCCCCCTACACTTCCTCACAGGGTTAAGGCCTCTCCAGGCTCATGGGCCCCCAAGTTCAAAGTCTCTTTAGCTGGGGGAAGGGGTAGGAAGAGACAAGTGCCCCCCTTCCCCTGCATTGGCTGTGGCAGGGGCAGGGTAGGTTACATTCAGTCACATCAGGAGTCTCTCCCACCCTCCAGTGCCACCATAATGGCAAGAGGGAAGGGGAGCTGGGGGGCCAGCAGCAGCAAGACATTTCCCCCTGGCCCATCACCCCCTTATTGCTTTAGAGAGAATATTGTCTTTTCACAGACGCTAACACTGTCAAAACCAGGGAGAAGCAGGTGGAGGGGCCTTCCACCCAGAGGCCAGCCTTATCCCCAACACTGACCCAGTTGCCACTTTGGTGCAAAAAAAAAAAAAAAGAACAACAATAAAGAAAAGTGAAAATGAAAGGTCGCCTCTCTGGAGACAGATGGGAAAGAAGAAACTGGGGCCATTCCCCACTTCCTCAGGGCAGAAAAGAGAAATACATTCATGGAGGGGAGGCAGTGGCAGTCTCGCCCTAATACTGCATTCTGAGCAATGAGGTCGATGGGAGAATTCACTAACATAAGAGCATTTCCAAAAAAAAAAAAAGGCCAACCAACAATGGAGATAAGCCCAGACAGGGGATGATGAGGAGTGAAGTCGGTGAGCGACAGGCAAGGCGGCCCCCAGCCCAGGACACAGGCTCTTGACCTCCAGCTTCACACCCAACATAGAACATCCAGGAGAGGGGCTGCTCGTGCTCTCCATTTGGTCATGGGAGGGTCAGGTGCAGAGCTGTGGTCTCCTTTCCCACAGCTGGCTGCAGATCAGGGTGCTCCCACAATGGCCCCACCACCACAGGTTCAGCCCCAAGCCACCCTTCGGTGTCTTTCCCTCACACAAGCAAGGACTCGGCCATGACAGAGAGGTTGGTGTTCTCCAGCTTCTGGAGGAAGGGCTATGTCCCTTCTTGGAGGGATGAGACGGGCTTGGGGGCCAGAGAATACATTCATGTGGCAAAGGCAGGGAGCTGGGGCTTTCAGTGTCACACCCAGGCTGTCCCCCGAAATGGCAGCAGTGGGGGCAGCCCCTCAGCAGGCCTGAGTTCAGAGCCCACCTCTGACAGGCTGGCACTGGCAGCTCTTTTCCCCGGCTCCCCAGTATGGGAGGGCTGTTTAGGGGTTGAGGGCGAGTGAGCTGACGCAGCTCGTCCAATTTGTGCAATGTTCCTCCAAAGCAGCCGAGGCAAGGGGCGACTTTGTGGCCTCCTCACCAGGACACCTGCCACAGTAACCACCACAAGAAGCTGTCACAGCGGGTCCAGTGGGCAGGGCTTCTGGAGAGGGCCTTGCTGGGCAAACTGCCAGCACCCAACTTCCAGTTACCCCAGTGATCACCTTCTGGGGCAGCAGGGTAAGTGCAGCCTTAGGGGAGCCAGGCAGAACAGTTCCATGGAGCCTGGTACCCACTGCCCCAAAATAACAGTGTGATTTTTTTTCTTTCAGCCTAACTTTCTTTTTTTTTTCATTATTTTTCATCTTTTCTTTAAAAAAAAAAAAAAAACAAAAAACCAACCCTAAAACAAAACCTCTGTGGACCTTCCAATGTCACACCCATTATCCCAAAGGGGCAGATGGGTCTACAGTCTAGTATTTGAATGATACTTTTGTCTCTCCTAACATTTAAAATTAAAGAGAAAAAAAAAGCCCCTCCCCATCTGTAAAGTGCCTCGTGGTGGGTGAGTTAAGGTGCATCGTGTGGTTTGTAACAAGTGCTGGGGACCCTGCCCCACTTGCTTCCTCCTCTGCTCCTTGTTGGGAGCCTGCAGGCTGGAGACCCGAGGGTCCATGCCACCGCTGCCACCACCCAAGCCTAAAGCCCAGGGGGCTGGTGGGACAGGCTGGTCAGTAGTCATCCACGCTCTCGATCTCACCAGAGGGGCCGTGCAGGGAGTACCCTGAAGCCAGGGGAGAAGTGAGGGTGAGTTCCGAGGTCCTATGGCTGGCCAGCACAGGGAAAGCAGAGCTCCCCAAAACCCCCACGCTTACCCAAGATGCTGGGGTCTGAGTGGAGCATCAACGCCCGCCTCTTGGCCTTGCTGCCCTCCCCAGGGCCCAGTTTGGTGCTGTGGTTGGCCTGAAAGGCTGTCTGCAGGGAGGTGCTGCTCAGCCAGGCCTCCTAAGGCAAACGAGAGTAGCATCAGGAGAGTCCTGGGTACCCTGCCTCCCCAGGTCCCACAAGACTCTACCTGCTGCTGCTGCTGCTGCTGTTGCTGCTGCTGCTGCCGCTGCTGACTAGCTTTCTGCTTGGCCCTCCGCTCCAGGAATTGTTTGGCAAATTCTTTGGCTTCCAGCGTGTCCCCCAGGCAGGAACGGATATAATCATGGACATCATAGGGGGACTCCACCTCCTTGAGGATCGCTACAGCCATGGGCACTATGGGGAGGGGACAGTCAAGTATGCTGGACAGATCTGGAGTCCCCAGTGCCAACATGGCCTCCCAGGATTGCCTTCCTACCATCCAGGCTGCCTGTGGTGCTCAGGGTGTGTAGCATCTGCTCACACCACTGGGTGAAGCCGTCCTGGGGCCGAGGGATGCCCTGCAGCAGCTTCAGCAACTTCTCTTCCTCTTCTGTCTTTTTGCGAACAGGGCGACCTGACAGGTGGCTGTACGAGTCACTAAGGCAGGCGGGGAATTGGAGGCCACAGGTGAGCCAGAAGCTTAGCACCCACCCACCACCCCTCCCTGACAGACCCAAGCTAAACAGTCGTCTCACCCACCTGAGAGACGGGCTGCTCCGACTGTTCTTTAGGCCCAGACTTCGGGCCAGGTTCCCGCCACTCTTGAGGGTGTCTTCCCAGAGTCCCAGGCTGCCACTGTTGCTGCCCCCACTCTTGTCTGGCCCGCCCCACAGTGGCCCAGCCTCAGACACCCACTGGTTCAGAGGGGCAGTGCCCAAGCCCCCAAGCTGCTGCAAATGGCAGGAAGTCAGGGGGCTCTACAATGGAGCCCTGGCTACCTAGGCAAGGAGGCTCATGGGGGGGGGGGGGGGGTAGGGAAAGGGAAAGAGTCAGGGGAGGGGCATCCTTCCAATAATGGAAAGAACCAAATCTCCGGCTTTAGGAGTCTGCGCTTAGGGACGTACTCCTCCGGCCCCCAGTGATTCTGGAAGCTGCATTGGGGGGGGTTCCCTGGGACCCCTGCTGCTTACCACTCGGTGGTTGGGGGCCTGGGCCCGCAGAGGATCCCGGGGTGCTGGCTGCTTGTGCAGCTGCCGCTCACTTTCCATCTGCAGCTCCAGCAGAGTCTTCATGGACAGGCCCTGCTTGGCCAGGCCAGCCCAGAGTGGGGGCGGGGAGCTCGGTGCAGGGGGCACAGGGACATTCGTTGCCTGCTGCTGCTGTAGCAGCTTCAGCAGCAGCTCCTGCTGCCGAACCTACGTGAGAACATAGTGGATGTTGGTGGGTGGCTGGCACCAGGAACAGGCAGGCCCAGGAGACAGGTGGGACTTGAACCTGCTTGCGTCGAAAGAGCTCCTCCTCCTCCTGCCGCCGCTTCTGCTCCTCCTGCTGCTGCTGCTGGCGGCGCTTCTCCTCACGGCGTTTTCGCTCCTCTTCCTCCCGCTTCGCCCTGAGCTCCACTTCTCTGCGCTCTTGAAACTGCGGTGACAAGAAGCTAGTTAGCTGGGCGGCTGCACCTGCTTCAGCCAGCCTTCAACAGGCTAGCGTGCTACTTACTTTATGTTGCAGCTGGAGTTGTTCTAGAATTGGACCCTGAGTCGAAGAGTTAATTGGTATGTCCCAAAGACTGGCCTCACCACCTGCAGGAGGAAAGGCAGCTGCAGAGGCCCAAGCCCAGTGGAACCACCCACAGATAGGAAACAGAGCCTGAGTGTGACAAGCAGGGACTCGGGGTAAAGGGACCAGGATGTGGCATGGGGCAGGTTGGCACTCACCTGACTGTGATGAAGCTGAGGTATGTAAGTCCCAGAGGGGGCCTGAATCTGGCACCGACAAGGACCGGCTTATCGTCGGCAGCAGGTTCTGGTCCCCACCCCTGAGAAGCAAAACACTGGCCCTCAAGACACTGCATTCACTTGTAGCCTGACTTCCTCCCTGCCTCCTTTTCTATCTCACACCAGCATACATATTCTCTGTTGGTTGCGCTCTCGCGCGCGCGCTCTCTCTCTCTCTCTCTCTCTCTCTCTCTCTCATGCACGCGCGCGCACACACACACACACACACACACACACACACACACACGCATGCACAGGGAAACAGACCTGGGGGTTTTGAGAGCCTGGAGCTGCTGCAGGAATGTAGTGAGCTGCTGCTGCTGCGGCGGCGTCAGGTCCCCCATAGCTGCCTTTTCCCGAAGCGTCGTGCACTGCGGAAGCTGGCGGCTACAGACAGACAGGACTCAGATGGTAGACCACCCAGGACCACTGCTGTGCCCACATCATGCCCCGAAGCTCCCCATACCTGCCGACCAGCTGCAGAAAGTGCTGGTGCTGCAGCTGCTGGTACAGGGCCGCCGCGGCCAGCTCCTGCTGCTTCTTCAGCCGCTCCTGATCCATGTTCCCCTGCAGGAGGTCAGAGCATGCCTGTGAGTGTGCCCAGCAGGAGCAGGCCTAGCAAGCGAGGTCGTGGGGAAGTCTAAGGTCCTGCTGCTGCCCCCACTGGCCTTCCCTGCAACCTGCAGAGCAGACAGTACTCACCAGCAGCGGGGGTGGCGAGGGCCCCGGGGCAAAGGGCACGCGGCCCCACATCTTGATCACCTCTCCCAGAGGCTGGAAACCCTCATCACAACCCCTCTTCACTAGGAGGGACATGGAGAAATAGCCGGCCTGGAACCACTCAGCCATCTCCTGGGTTGTGAAGGGGCCTGGAACAAGGGTGTGAGAGGGTTAGGAAGTGGCCATGGTAGATTAGAGAACACACTTACATCTGCCCAATCAAATCCGCTCCTAGGAATCTGCTAGCCACCTTGGATCTCCCCCTGTGGGTCCTTGTAGAACCACTTTCGGGCAGCGCCATGGCTGAGGGGAAGGGCAGTAGCGGCTGTGGAGTGGCGAAGGCCCTGGGTCTGCATGGTGGCCGTAAACTGTTCCTCCTCCAAGGAGCTGTCCTGCAAGGAGGCCACCAGCTTCTCTGCCTCCTGGGAGTCCAGAAAGAGAGTCAGGTTTGAGTAAACTGATAGTACAAACACCAGACAGAGGCTGGGCTCAGGAGTGGAGGCCTCTCGGGCATGCACAGGCACACCCTCCCAACCTGCTGCAGATGCTTCAAGCCTTCTTCATCTTCTAGATCTCCAGGTGGGCCAGGAGGCGAGCTGACTGCAGGACTTAGAGACAGACCCCTCATCTCGTCTCCTGGAAGAGGAGATGAGAAAGTAGGGAGGGGCAAGAAAGGGGACAAGATGGCTCTTCTACCTGCTAGGAAAACAGGCTCTCACCACAACCCATCCCTCCCCACGCCCTGGCACTCCCTTGTGCATCAGCTCTAGCCAGTCTACCTTCGGCTGGCGGAAGTTCTTTCTCCACTGCCTCATCGCCATCCTCGCTCGTCGTCCAGAGAGGGCCCAAGGCAGGCAGTGAAGATGGGGAGCTAGGTTTCTCAGGAGGAGGCAATGGGGTCACCTCCTTCCCACCTGGAAGGAACAGATGACTACTTGAACTCAAAACCGAAGGGGCTAAGGGGTTGGGTCAGTACATAAGTGTTTGCCTCCCAACCTTGAGGGCCTGTGTTGAAATCCCAAGAACCTATACAAACGCCACATGTAGGAGTGTCTGTAATCCCAGTTTTCCCATGAAAACGTGGAAGGCAGAGACAGGAAATTAATGCTCAACAGGTTCATAGGCCCAACTGGGCACAGACAATGGGAAAGATCAGAGAGCCCACCTCAACCAAGATGAAGGGCAGGGACCTATACCCACGGTTGTCCTCTGACCTCCATACACTGTGGCACATTCATTCACACATATACATACATGATCAAAATAGAAGACCAGGGGAGACCATGTAAGTGAGGTTGCACACGGTGAACATGCACAACCCTGGGGCATGTCTATCCAACGTTGGTCAACTCCCTACCCAAGCATGAAGCATGGATGTGGAGAGCCGAGCTGTCTGCATTGTGCAGACTCCTGGCCCTGCTCTGTGAGGTATTAGTTAGGACCCATAAGTGTAAGGGCTGTGTGGGTGCCTGCCAGCTCCAGAGCTTCTAAAGGACTCCAAAGGTCATTCTGTTCACACCTGACAGAGGTCCCTCTCCACACATTTGAGTCCTGGCTCGGGACATGCATGCATGCACACGCACAGACATCGCAGGTTAGAGGACAGCGCAGCCTCCCTGCAAGGTTGTAAGGGCTCACCTGCCTCAGGCCCCTCTTCATCCACCCCTTCTGAAGGCTCCTCCTCCTCTTCCTCCAGGCCCTGGAAATCAAGCTCTTGCTCCTCAGGAATAGGTTCCTTGGGGCCCTTCTGTGTGAGAAAGGGCAGAGTGGACAGTGGGAGAGCAGCTGGGGGACAGCTTCCGTCAACCCCTCTGGTCCCTGAGAAGGTACCTTGAGAGGTAGGAAGGCCCCGGAGGCATCAAAAGTGCCCATCTCCTCATCTTCATCGTCCAGGCACCACTCAGGGAGCCCATCCTTGTCATCTTCAAAACCATCGAGCCCTCGGCATCTCCGGAGGTGAGAGCTGCCTCCCCCAACCCGCCCATCCTCTTCGCCACACCCTCCTCGATCCCCTCGCAAATCAAAATCAAATTTGCGCCTCCGTTCCCCATGTTCCCGCCAGCCAGCAGAGCGGGGACCACCATCTGGAAGAGAAAGTTGGAAAAAGAAACAAAACAACACATAGAAACTAGTGACCAGCCACACCAGGCTCTGCCTTCTCCAGCTCAGCAGGCCTTCCCGCTAGCATGGCCTCCCTGGGATGTTCTCATTCCTCACATGCGTGGCCATCCCCTTCCCCAACATCAGCCACATTCAGGGAGCAGTTCCTGAACCCCACCTTGCCCCATCTTACCAGGACTGGTGGAACGCCAGCGATCACCATCTCTCCGGGGTCCTGCCCCGAGTCTCCAGCTGCCATCCTCCTCCTGCTCTTCTCGCAATGAGCGCCAATTCTCACTGTCCGAGCGTGCATGCTCCTTCCTTGGGCCAGCCCCTCCCTCCTCAAACCCAGATCGTGCTGGCATGGGGGAAACAGACAATAAGCATCAAAGAACCCCATGACAACTCACCTGTCCTCCCCCCTCCAACCTGGGAACCCAACCTCAGTTGCCACCACACTCAACACTCTCATACCTCCATCCCGCCTTGCAGACTTCTCAAACCGCCTCTCACCTCTGTGGAAGAAAGATGCTGGTTAAGGCACACACATCATCCCCTCTGCTCTAAGGTGGAGCAGGGGGAGCCAGGGAACATCAGGCTGGGGAGAAAACAACAGAATCCCCAAAACAACCAGAATGAAAGGAGCAGACAGGACCCAGAGGGCTCTGGCCTCCACAGTCACCCCACCACTAGCCCAGCTTCCACTCCTCTGCCCTACCTGCCTACCTCATCTTTCCACCCCACCTGTCATCCCAGCTCTGGCTTCGCTGGATCTCCCGGGGATTGCGTCCAAAGGCTCCATCCCCTTCCTCAATGCTTCTTTGGTAAAAGCAGCTGTCACCACGGCCACGGCCTGAAGGAAGAGGGCTCACATCTGGGCTTGGGACCTTCCAGTGCCCCTCTGCATCCTTAGCACCACCCATTCCGACTCTGCCCATCTCCTCCCCTAAAAAACGTGGGGTGTCATCCTCTACCTCGGCTCCGTGTGCTGCCCCTGCCACGGGAGGTGGCAGCCAAAGGGGGCCCAGCCCCTTTCCCCATCAGCCTCAGTACAGCCACACTGTTCACTGACAGGGAGAAGTTTCTCTGAGGAGGGAGCCAGGGATGGGAGTGAGGACGTATCACTCAGTCAACCCCCATCCTCTCAAGCCCGGCTCCTCCTCCCACCACCCTAGGCCCATTTGTCTCAGCCTGGCTGGGCCCAGCCCCACCTGCTCCTCCTCAGTCAGAGGCTCCAGAGCCAGAGGTTGCAGTGGTTCCTCCTGCAACACTGCGGCGAACTCCTTGTCCTGCAGTTCCTCGGGGACCTGTGACGGGCAGGAGGCCCAATACACTATACCCTCAGGGGCAACTCACTGATCAGGCAAATGGGGGAGGGAATCCTGTCCCATTCCAAAACCTCACCTTGTTTTCCTTGACATAGAGGGCCAGCATCTCCTCTCGCCCATAGCGGTAATCTGCTAGCTTGTATTTGGGCATAGCAGGAGATGGGGGTGGAGAGGTCACACTGCCACCACTCGAAAGAGCCCTCAGCCTAGATCAGGCATAGAAAGGAAGGGATAGGGAGGTCCACATAGCCATTCCCCACTACCCCAGCTTCTTCCCATGGGCCAGAGCTTGAGCAACCCACCACTCAGGTCCAAAGTTGAGTGTCTCCGCTGCCATCGTGGAGCAGAGATGCTTTTCAAAGGTCAAGAATGAGCAGAGAAAGGAGGACCAAGTGTGTACTGTTCAAATACCTGTAGGGCCACAGACAGGGCCATAAGTAACCATCTGCAGGTTACTCACGGGGACAACACCTTACTGGGTCAGTGAGAGGCCACCATCTGGGTGGTGAGTCATTTTGGCACTGAAGAACTCACCTAAACCAGACACGAGACCACGCACACCATGAGTTAACGGAAGCCAGTCAGGGTAGGGGAGAGTCCTAGGGGAGTGAGAGAACATAGAAGCTTGAGCCTGGTCTGCCTCAGTGAGGCGCCCTCTGGTGGCCCAACACTCACCTGACAGTCCTGCCCTGAGAAGCAGGGAAGACAAGGGCTCTCTCTGTTCTGGCAGGGCCTGGGCTGAGCTGACCCAGAGTTCCCAAGCAACTAGCTACGGTCTATAGCTTCAGTAGTGCCAGGGAGGAACTTTCACATCTGGGAAAGATCCTTAGGGAGAAGAGAAGGAAGAGGGTGGTTACACCAGTGAGTCAGATGGCTCCCATCCTCTGGCCCACAGCTGCGGGGTACAATGAACTTAGGACAGATGTACAGGCGTGGTCAGTGGTGCTCTCACGGGGTGGCTGAGATGGCTAGTGCGGCACGGATACAGTGAGAAGGTAAGGATGGTAGTGATGGACTTTCAGGACCACAAACCAGGTAAGGAAGCCATCAGGACCAGGCATGGCGGTGCCCATGCTTCCAATTCCAGCACTCTGAAGACAGAGGCAGGAGGATGGCAAGTTTAAGACCAACCTGGGACACCTTGTAGACCTTGTTACAGTAACAACAAAAGGACTGAGGATTTGGTTTAGCTGGCAGAGTGCTTATTTATCACAAACGAAGCCCTACGTTCTCTCCCCAGTACCACATGCCTGTGATTCCCAAAACTTGGGAGATGGAGGCAAGAGGTTCAGAAATTTAAGGTCATTCCTGGCTACATACATGTTCAGGGTCAGCCTATGCTACATGAGGCCATGCCTTAAAAAATAAAACAAGGCACTGGGGCCACTTATGTCCTATGGAGGAATGGGCAGCTTATGTCTTATAGAGGAATGGGCCTCTCATGTCCTATAGAGGAATGGTCCATTTTGGAGAGCATCACAGTAAATCTTGGAACAAGATGACTTCTCTACAGAAAAAAACTCAAATTACCTGTCTGGAAATCAGAATCAGGGAGCTGGGTTTGGTCAGGAACCAAACACGGACTAAACACGTACCCGGGCAGGCTTAGAGCAGGGGTGTGGCCACAGCACCCCAGACTCATCTACTAAATGGAAACCAAGCCTAAACTCCTTCCCCTACATCAAGAACTGTCCCTCAGAAAAAAGTTCAAGGTGGGAAGAGGGCTACGGAGTTGCTGGCAGAAGGCCCCTCACCATATGGGAAGAGGCAAGTCCAATCTCTGAGGCTGGTGAGCAGCAGGGGCAACAGGGGCAGGTTCCTCTAGGAGCCTGGGCAGGAGACTCTTGGAAGTGGGTTCATCTAGGAAGGGCAGAGTAGAGGAAGAAGGGCAGGCAGTGTCCAGGGGTGTGCGTGGGTTCCTATCACTGACTGGGCAGGAGGCTGGACCAGTGTGCCTCTGCAGTCCCCATCCGGTGCAGGATGCCAGGAGTCTGGAGGAAAGAGAAAGAAAGATGGTCTCCCCTGTAGCTAAACCAAGACACCATGGCAGACAACGGGGTGACCCAGAATCCAAGCACCCTGGAATCTGGGGTGATGTGTGGCTGCTGAGAGACAACAAATGGGCTGGCCCAGGGCACCTGTGCTGCTCAGTGATGCCCCAGGGCCTCCGCAGACCCCGAGGACACGATGCTAAGTGTAACAAGTCAGGCACAGACAGTTGGCAGAGAGCAGGCCTAGCACTCACAATGCCCTGGGTTTGACCTCAGTATCACATTAGCCAGACGTGGTGGTACACACCTGTAATCCTAGCACTCAGGTAGTGGGTGCAGAAGGATCAGAAGTTCAAGCTCCCCATTCCCTGCCCCAAGAGGGCTGGAGATGCTGCCGAGTGGTCAAGCACTTTCCTAGCATGCGCAAGGCCCTGTCTTCAACCACCAGTACTGCCAAAAAAGGGACTTGGGCTGGAGAGACAGCTCAGTGGTTGAGAGTCCTTGAGTTCAGGTCCCAGCATGGGCGGGGGTGGGGGGGGGTCAAGAAAGATAAAACCTCTGTAGGATGTTCCTTACAGAGGAGCCAGGGGTTGGGGCAGGCTGAACACAAAAACCTGAAGTTGGGACAGAACTGTTGGCAAATGCTGAACGGGTTCAGGGCTTCGGCTGGGCACAGGGGAGGCTGGTGACAGGTGACAGAGGCATAAAACTGTAAATGTATTGACATCAATGCCACAGATCTGGTTTTTTTTTTTTTTTGAGACAGGGTTTCTCTGTGGTTTTGGAGCCTGTCCTGGAACTAGTTCTGTAGACCAGGCTGGTCTCGAACTCACAGAGATCCGCCTGCCTCTGCCTCCCGAGTGCTGGGATTAAAGGCATGCGCCACCACCGCCCGGCCAATGCCACAATCTGTACTCCAAAAGAATAAATGAAGCGGTAAGAATCCTTCCACCTCAACCTTCTGAGCGCTGGGATTGTGCGCATGCACGCACGGCCATGCCTGGCTTACACCATCATTTTCTTATTCTGAGCGCCGGGATTGTGCGCACGCACGCACGGCCATGCCTGGCTTACACCATCATTTTATCTTATTCTGAGCACTGAGATTGTGCGCACGCACAGCCATGCCTGGTTTACACCCTCATTTTATTTTTATTCCTTAATTATGTGTATATGTGTAGGGTGGGAGGAATGACGCTGCGTACCCTTGAATGTAGGTGCCCAGGGTCTAGAAGGTGTCAGATCCCCTGGAGCTAGAGTTACAGGTACCTGTGAGTCACCTAACTTGAGTGTTGGGAATCACACTCAAGGCCTCTACAAAGGTAGTGTGTGCACTTAACTGTTGAGCCATCTCTCCAGCCCCAGACATCAACAATCATCTTAAGAAAGCTTTAGTGAGGCTGGTGGCATAGGACCTGCTTAGCATGCACAAGCCCTGTAGTCCTGCCCTCAGTATTTATTTTTAAAAAACGTTTTGTAGGGCAGTGTAGAGGGCTCAGTCAGAAAAGTGCTGGCTGCACAAACACAGGACCTGAGATCAAGTCCCAATACTCACCAATACTTACGTAAGAGCCAAACATTTGTGCCTGGGGAGGTAGATATAACTCTAGCACTAGGGAGGTAGAAAAAGGAGGATCCCTGAGACTTGCTGGACATCCAATCTAGCAAAATTGGTGAACTCCTGGTTTAAGCAGATGGCTGGGGAGATGGCTCAGTGGGTAAAGTGCTTGCTGCACATGCATGAGGACCTAAGTTCTAATCCCCAGAACCCATGTATAGATAGATGCATAGTATTCCTACAGAGAGATGGGAGGTGGAGACAGGAGGACCCCTGGGAGCTCATGGACCAGTCAGCCTGATGAATGATGCCTCCAGAAGAGACCCTGTCTCCATCAAGGTGGAAGGACCAACATCTGAGGTTTTCTCTGACCTCCATGTGAGTATACACTCATTCATGCATATACACAAAAACTGAACAAGCAATAAAGTTGAGAGCAAAAGAGAAAGATACAACCTGCAGTCTTCACATCCTCATGAGCATGGGCCCATAAAAGGCTTTAGGGGAAAAGCCACTGTGAGGGCTAGACACTGTTCCCATTCCAAACAAAGAACCCCACACTCCTTCAAACAATCTGGAGCCTACTCAGTCAGTCCTGGTGGAGCAGGCACTGATCTTGGCAGTGAGGGAGCGCTGTCCAGCAGGAGAGTAACAGGGTGCCCTACCCTCACCGTGCATCCTCCCACCCTTCATGGAGCCTCCCTGAATGGAAAGTCTAAGGAAGGAGGGCAGGCAATACAGCTCACCCTGGTAAAGGGGCTTGCAGCCAATCCTGAAGATGTGAATCAGATACCTTAGTATCTACGTGGTGGAAGGAGAGAAGCGTGTCATCCAAGTTATCCTCAGACTTCCATGCACACTATGTACACGTGTATACACACACACACACACACACACACACACACACACACATACACACAGCTTGAAGGTGGGGTGGGAGGTGGACACAAGGACATGTTTAATTTAAAAAGAGCAAATGAAAATAGAAAAAGAACAAGCAGTGGCAATGTGGATGTAACAGGGCCACTGCAAAGGCAGGGGAAGACCCAAGGCAAGCGTGCAGGTTCTCAGGCCTGCAAACCAGCCAGAGAGAAGTGCCCAGAACTCAGCAGCACTGGGCTTCCTCCTCACACTGAAGGGACCCAGGGAGCAGTATGCAGTCCACTGCGTGCTGCCCGAAGCCATGTGCTCTTGACTGAGGGAGACTCAACTCCCTGAGGACTATGACTGCAGACACCAGGCTGTCAGCTGGGCAGAAGGGTGCGACTGGCTGCTAGCAGGTGGAGACCACTGTACAACTCAGAGGACAACCCAGCACAAAGAAGCATATGGCTGACTAGGGAACGTGGCTCATTTGGGAGAATTCTTGTCTAGCATGCACAAGGCCTTGAGTTCAATCCCCAGCAAGGCATAAATCAGGCAGATAGTGCAGGCCTGTCACTCAGCATGTATCCAGGGGAGGCAGTGGAACATTTAAAATAAGGGAGGCCTGTGGGCTCCCTTGTCCCTCATTAGCCAGTAAAGGCTTCCCTCACTGCACTGTCCAGTGAGAAAGTCCAGAGTCCTTAGGAGGCAAGTCCCGAGGAAAAGCAACAGCATCTGTCTGGAGAAATGGTTCAGCTGATAAAGGAGTCTGTGGCCAAGCCTCATGACCCGAGTTTGATCCCCAGGACCCATATGGTGGAAAGAGAGAACCAACTTCTTCAAGTTGTCCCTTGACACCACCCCTCATCATGAAACAGACAGACACAGTGATACATACTTTAAAAATGAGAACAAAACAATCTGTTTGCCCACCCCTCCAAGCTAAGCAACCAAGCCTCTCTCTAAGAAAGAAAACAGGAGGGCAGCTGAGTTGGGGACCTCATCTTTTCCCACCTCACCTTCTACTGGCTGCCTATGTGAAGAGTCTTTTCTTCCCAGGTCACCTCTGCTTCACAAGGCCCCCTCCCCACAGCCCACCTCAACTCCCCCAGCATCTGTGCGCTCTCAGTATGAGCCCTGCTGGAAGCACAGGCTGGTGCTGGAGCTGGCAGCTTCCTCGGGGGCCTGGGCCCGCTCCTCTTGTGCCCAGAACTACAAACATAAGCTCAACACTTCAGGCCAATGCTTCCTTACTCTATGGCCCCTAACTCTGTTCCCATCTAAAACAATGTAACTCGGCACCATCCTGTACCACGGCTAACAAGAGTCAAAACCCAAATGCCCCACACTTGGGCCATCAGTCACCCAGTCTGTAGAAGGCGACTTTCCCCGTGAGTATGCATTCTCCATGTGTGGTGGGGAGGAAGGGCTGCAGGCCCCCAGCAGCCCCAGAGCAGCAGTTACCCCTGCTCTACTCCACCACAGTGACAAGCAAGCCCAGCACTTGGCAATTGTGAATTGACTTCACAGTTTTCAAAGCATTTTCACGCTTTACCTCATTTGATCCCTTCTGTCAGCTCGCCTAGCCAGGGGACTCCAGTACATAGAAAATGAAGTTACAGCTTCCCTGACGGGCACCTTGACACCCTCACCACTACCCCGGACTGACAGAGATGTGATAGGTGGCGGGAGCCATCCTGCAAGTTCAGGCTTCCTATGTTGAGCCTGAAGCTGGTTTAATTCTTTCTTTCACTTGGGGCTGACGAGGCTTGCTGAGACAAGGTCCCAAACTGTACCCGAAACTGGCCTCACACCTAGAGCAGCCCTCCTGCTTCCCGAACATTCCCACGAGTGGCAGAGGCTTCCAAGCCAAGATTTTTCTTAAGACTTTCACGTTTTGCACATGTGTATGATGTCCATTTACCTGTTCAAATTCACGTGTGGAAGCACACGCACACCAGTGAAGAGGCCCACGGCTGATGCCTGGCATCTTCACTTGCTCCCCACCGTGCTAATTGAGGCAGGGGCTCTCGCAAAGGCAGAATATACTGTTTTGGCGAGTCTAGCTAGCCCTCTTGCGAGGGGGATCTGTCTTCCTGGGACGGCTGGAACAACAGGCGAGCCACCATGGTCACCTAGCAGGTGTGTGGCTCTGGAGATTCAAGCTCTGGTCCTCATGCTGGCTCAAGTGCTCTAACCACCAGGGCCCTTCCTCAGACTTTTGTGCCGCCTTTGCTTCCCTTTCCCCTCTTTTTTATTATGATTGTGTGATGCGGAGGAGGGGCACACATGGGGGCAGAGGACAACTCTGTGGAGCCTGGTCTCAACTCCCACCTGAAGTGAGTTCCTGGCCAACAGGCTTGCAAACCAAGTGCCTTGACCTCACCATCGGTCTGTGTTTCCTATCCCAAAAGCCAAAAAACATGTACAAGGCTAGGGTTAGCTTGGGGTCTCTTCTTCACTACCCCCACAAATCACTAATTTACAACCGCTACCTGACAAAGCCAGTCAACAAAGGTGAGCACACCCTAAAATTTTACTAGAATCCCCATGTGGGACACTCAAGAACCCGGACCCACCCGGCCAACGGACAGAAAGAATAAGCCAACTTCCTCAAATCCTCCCCAAATTCGGGATACTGATGTACAACCTATGAGTTAAAAGTTGATCTGGGAGGGAGGGTGGCTGGCCGGGCGCTGCTGCAACGGAACCAGTTGGATGGGTAGATGCCAGACCAAACCAGACACTGGTCCTAAATGGGTCGGGGGCTTGAGCAGAAAGTGGCGTGCCAGCTTGGAGGGGCAATGGCTGCTGGAAAGGGGCTTTTCCGGAAAGGTAGGACTTTGAGCAGAGGGGAGGACCGGGGTGGGTGGAGGAAAGAGCTGGCCACCAAGTATTTATTTAGCATCTCCCAGGCACAGCACTGCAAGCTACTTGGGAACTATAGTAACTATTGGGTCTAAGAGGGGACACAGAAGGGGCTTTCAACTTGAAAAAAAAAATTAAGGGAAAGAATTCTGGGTAAACTGTGAGGGGCAATGACCTGCAGCTGTCCCATCTAGCGGGGACATATGGACTGGGAAGAGCCCGGTCTAGTGTCAGGGCAGCCCAGCGGCCCTGGCTCAGACAGACAGGTGTCTCACGCGGCCGGACAACTGGGGAGGGAAGAGGGACCTCGATGACCAAGCACTTAGGTGGCCGCTTAAAAACGCAAGAAACCGTGGTGAAGACCCAAGACGAGGCGCTCGGGCAGAATAAAGCTTCCATGTCGGCCAAAGTGCTAGAATACTTGGACCAGCGAGCCCCGCCAGGCCCGGTTCGGCTACCAGAACCGTGCTTGGCACGGAGCGGCGAGAGGGGACACCGCCAAAAGGGGAGGTCGCGGCGCGCGCACAGCACACAGCAGAGAGGCCCGGGCCCGGGCGGGACGTGTCGGGGAGCCTGGAGGGGACCCCAGAGACGCGACCGTTACTTAGGGACCGAACACGGTGGGGTGCGGGAAAGCGCGGGCCGGGAGGACGGCGTGCCCTTCAGGGAGGGGCGCCAGGTGCGCGGGGCGCGCGCGGGGACGGCCACCGTCCCCTCTCCCTCCCGAGGAGCAGAGGGGCAGCAGGGCCTTCTCCCCCCACACCCGCCCGAACCGGAGCCGCTCCGGGGAGGGAGGGAGGGAGAAGGGAAGGCGGGCGGGCGGGCGCGGGGCACGGGGAGGAGGGCCCGCGCGCGCCGCGGCCCCGGCTCCTGCCCGCAAAGGCTCCCGGGCGGCCGCCGCTGGCGTCGGGGGCGGGCCTGCTCCGGTGCTCGCAGAGCTTACCGGGGGCGCGAGGTTCCCGGTCCCCCCGGGCGTTGGCGACCCGGGCGCGGTGCTGGCGGTGACGGGCGGGTGGCGCGCGGCGGGACCGGGACGGCGGCGGCGGCGGCAAGGGGGGGAGGGGGACTGGCGGGCGCTGGCGCTCCCGCGGCGGCCGCTCCTCTCTGTTTGTGTTTGTAGCAAGATGGCTGCCCGCCTCGTACCACGTGACACGGACGCGGGGCCGCCCCCTCCAACGCCACCGCGGCCGCGGCTCCCCCTGCCACCTCGCTCTCGGACTCCGACCCGCCCGCCGGGGTCCCCCCACCCGGCCGCGCTGCACCCCGCCGCCCACTCCCGGACACGTTGACCCGGGAGTGCACACCCCCCTTCCCGCGCTCGTCACGTGACGGGGTGCCCGTGCAACCTGAGGCTTGGGGAGGGGGGGGTCCCCACTTCCTCCGCCCTCTCCTGGCCAAGCTCCGCCTCCTCCAGGGAGCCCGCCTGGGTTAGAGGTGAGACAGCCCAGTGCAGAATTGTCCCCGGGTCACCGTGCGGGTTTGGAGGAAACGTGAGCATGCAGTGATTTAGAAGCGGTCAGGGTGAAAGGATTTCCTGGTGGGCAGGAGAAGCAGTTGTTCAAAGCCAGCCTGGGCTACAGAGGAAGACCCTGTCTCAGCGAGCCAATGAACACATCCTGCACTCCAGCGCTTAGGAGCAGTTTCCAGGCCAGCCTGGGCGCGAGACCTTGGCTCAAAAAATAAACCAAAGAAAGCTGAAGGTGGTGCATGCTATAATCCCTGCACTTGGGAGGTAAAGACAGAAGGGTCAGGAGTTCAAGGCCAGCCTTAGTTACAATTATTACCTCTGAGAGTGTTTTTGAAAAATAGAAAAAGATTCAGGAATGACTTTTTTTTTTTTTTTAAGGCTGATGAACTCGGTGGGTGTAAAAGTTTGGTGGGTGCCTTCATGGTTTTCTTTGGAAGTTTGTTTCCTCTCTCCCTCTTTTCCTTCCTTCTCCCCTCTGTTGTGGATTTTTGGTTTGTTGTTTGAGATAGGGTCTCACTAAGTAGCCTTGGCTGGACTGGAGCTTGCCAGTAGACCAGGCTGGCCTGGAAAGGAGAGACCTGCCTACCTCTGCCACCCAGTGGCTTGGTTTTTTGAAACAGTCTTACATACTGTAGCCCTGTGGCCCTTCCACTACCCTGGAAATCCTGGTGATCTTTCTGCCTCTGACTCCCTTTACAAGCATGCACCCCATGCTGGACACAGTTTTGAGCATTGTTTCTGGTAAGTGCCATTAGCCTCCCTGCCAAGGAGGACTGGCCAGGTATAGGGGTTGGGAGTACAAGCCTGCAATTTTAGTAGTTAGGAAGTAGGTGGAGACAGGAGGGCTGGGAGTTCAAGGCCTGCCCAGGCAACTTGAGCCCTTGTTTAAAAACACGAACAAAAAAAACTAAATACACAAAAGGATCATAATTTTGTTCCAAGCCGAAAGCAGTAAAGATAGAATCAACTCAGGAACCTTTTTCTTCTTTTTAAAAAGAAAATTTTTAAATGTAATTCTGTGAATGTGTCTATAGTGGTCTATTATTTGTGCTTTAATAAATAAAGCTTGCCTGAAGATCAGAAGACAAAGTAGCCACACTAGTCAGCCATACTGGCCAGACAGTGGTGGCACACACCCTTAATCCCAGGTTTTGGGAGACGAGGCAGATGGATCTCTGATTTTAAGGCTACCCTGGGCTGCACAAGATCAATTCAGAAACAAATTAAAGGTGTGACTCACACCTTTAATTCCAGAATTTGGGAGTCACACACTTTTAATCCCAGCACTAGGGAGGTGGAGAAAGGAATATAAAGGGGAAGGGACGGGAACTCAATGGAGGTGGAGCCTGAGAGTCATGGAGACAGGATCTCACCCTTTCAGTGTGAAGATTGGTAGGGGTAAAAGGTCTCTATAGTTGGCTGTTTTGCCTTTCTGATCTTCATCTTGAACCCCAATACTGTCTCTGGGTTTTTATTATTTTTGCTCCATGTGTGTGTCTGTGTAAGGATGTGTGCACGTGAGTGCAGGTGCCCAAGGAAGCCGAAAGGGGGCACCCGATGCCCTGAAGCTGGGGTTGTGAGCTGCCTGAGAAGAGTATGGGAACTAAACCGGGGACCTCTGTAAGCCATCCTCCAGTCTAGGGTAGCGGGTCTCGATTTGTGGGTGGCAACCCCAGAAGACCATAAGAAAACACAGATAGTTACATTATGATTCATAACAGTAGTGAAATTACAGTCATGAAGTAGCAACGAAATAGTTTTATGGGGGCTGGAGAGATGGCTCAGTGTTCTTCCAGAGGTCCTGAGTTCAATTCCCAGCAACCACATGGTGGCTCACAGCCATCTATAATGAGATCTGGTGCCCTCTTCTGGCCTGCAGGCGCACACACAGAAGGAATGTATGTATGTATTATTTATTATGTATACATAATAAATTATTATTTATTATATTATGTATATATGTATACATAATAAATAAATCTTAAAAAATAGTTTCATGAGCCGGGCGATGGTGGCGCACGCCTTTAATCCCAGCACTCGGGAGGCAGAGGCAGGCGGATCTCTGTGAGTTCGAGACCAGCCTGGTCTACAGAGCTAGTTCCAGGACAGGCTCCAAAGCCACAGAGAAACCCTGTCTCGAAAAACCAAAAAAAAAAAAAATAGTTTTATGGTTGGGGGTCACCACAATGTGAGGGACTGTACTGCAGGGTTGCAGTGTTAGGAAGGTTGAGAACCACTGCTCTAGCCCTCCTAATAGTTTCATCTAAAGCTTTCATTGGGGCCACTGAAGTAGCTCAGTGGTAGAGCCCCTGCCTAGGATCCCCCAGTGAGGAGCTGGGTGTGGCTCAGTGGTAGAGCCCCTGCCTAGAATCCCCCAGTGAGGAGCTGGGGTGTGGCTCAGTGGTAGAGCCCCTGCCTAGAATTCCCCAGTGAGGAGCTGGGGTGTGGCTCAGTGGTGGAGTGCTTGCTTATCTTGTGCAAGACCCTGAATCCAATCTGTGCCAGCATGCGCGCACACGTACACACACATACACACACACACACACACACATACACAGAGGAGAAAGAAGACAACCTTTGTTGGTACTAGACTTGGAGGTGGAAAGCAGGGTGGGGTGATCATTAGTTAAGAAAGGAGGAAAAGGTGAGTGATGGACACGCACTGGAGAATACAGCGGAGCAAGGCGACGGGAGAAGAAACCCAGAAAAGCCTGAAAACCAAACTTTGGTTCCCGTTGTAAAGCCAGATAGAGATTTAATCTTTTTAACTTTTGTGTGTATGTGTTCGTTGTGCGTGTGAACGTGCCATGACACACATGTAGCGGTCACAGGATGACTTGCAGGAGTTGGCAACCCTAGATTCAAACTCAGATCATCAACCTTGGCACCGAGTGCCTTCTCATTGTCCACATGTATGTGTGTGTGTATTTTTACATGTATGTTTGTTTTTTGGTTGGTTAGGTATATATACATGTACACACATGGTGTCTTTTTTGACAGTAGTGGGTACTAAACCCAGAGCTTCAGATATACTAAAGTACTGTACCACTGAGGTATGTCCCCATTCCTGGCGTTGGTTTAGGTAGTTGGTTGGTTGGTTGGGTTTTGGTTTTCTCGAGACAAGTTGTCTCTGTATCTCAGGCTGGCCTTAAATCCACAAGAATCCTTTTGCTTCAGCTGTCTGAGTTTGGGGACTACGGGCGTCCACCACCGTAAGTCTAACTTGTAAAACAGCATTTTAAATATCTTGGAAAGACACACAGCTTGAGTCATAGAAAACTCATTTACAAATTGTGTTTATTGTTTTGTGAGTGAGTTTTGTTCTTGGTTTTTTGTTTGTTTTTGTTTTTGCAAGACTGGGTGTCTCTGTGTAGCCCCGGCTGTCTTGGAACTCACTCTGTAGACCAGGCTGGCCTAGAACTTGGAACTCAGAGATCCTCCTGCCTCTGTCTCCTGAGTGCTGGGATTAAAGGCATGCACCACTACTGCTCAGTTCTTGGATTTTTTTTTTCTTCTGTGGTAGTGAAGTGTTTTTGTTTGGTTGTTTTTATTAGCTTGTTTTTCGGTTGGTTTAGTTTCTTGGGACCCAATCTTGTAATGTGTCCCTGGCTGGCCTTGAACCTGCAGTAGTCCTCCCAGTGCTGCACCATCACACTTCAGAACTTTATTGTAAGTGATGGATATAATGGGCCTATGATGGAAAACGTTAACTTTCTTCTAGCAACTGAGTTGTTCGGTCCACAAGTATAGTTGTCATATTTAAGCCTGGGATGTGTGAGCCTCAGGCACAGGAACCTTCCTGTCTCTTCTCACGTCTCACCACCACCAGGTCTACAAGTGCACACCCCTGTGCTCGCCTGGAGATCCAACTTCAAGCACCCTTGGCCAGTGCTGCGTCAGCTGAGCCATGCTCCCAGCCCCGTAAACAACAAGTATCCCCATAGCTCAAGATGTTTCCTTGGTCCAGCTCTAATTGCTGAGAAATGTTCTGTGAAGCCAGGTGGTGGTGGTGGTGCACACCTTTAATCCCAGCACTCAGGAGGCAGAGGCAGAGGCAGGCAAATGTCTGTGAGTTTGAGACCAGCCTGGTCTACAAGAGCTAGTTCCAGGACAGGCTCCAAAACCACAGAGAAACCCTGTCTCGAAAAACCAAAACAAAACAAAAAACCAAAACAACAAAAAACCAGAAATGTTCTGTGAATGAGTATTTCAGTTTGTTTTTGTGTTTCTTACAGTGTATTAACTGGAAGATATCGGGCCTCTCCAACTGTGGCCTATTCCATGGAAACCTACTGTGGGCATTCCTGCCATTCCTGGAGAGGCTTTTGTTTGTCTGTCTGAGGTTCTGTTGTTGTCTTGCAGTCCTGGGGCTTGGACCAGCCTGCTTCGGGGATGCACCAGGATACACCCCAGCCTTGCATACTCTATTTGCTGTTGGCTTGGTTTGGTTATTGCACCTTACTGTGCAGCCAGGTCAGCCTGACGCTCACAATCCTCCATCTGCCTGCTGCTGTCACACGTGGCTGTCCTGGAACTCACTCTGTAGACCAGGCTAGCCTCAAGCTCACAGAGATCCGCCTGCCTCTGCGTCCTGAGTGCTGGGATTAAAGGGCGCCAGCACTACCAGGCTTTTGGAGTATTTTCTTGATATACCTTGATAACTTTTCCTAAGATGACACACACAAGGATAAAAGGTTCAGTTCTCTCCTCGGCTACACCATAAGTTGGAGGTCAGGTACTTGGTGGATACCTTTTATCCTTTTGCCTTCACCTCCTGGGTGCCTGGACCAACCATATGCCTCCACGCCCAGGATCCTGAATGCCTGGCCCAACCATATGCCTCCACGCCCAGGTTCCTGAGTGCCTGGACCAACCATATGACTCTGCACCCAGGATTCTGAGTGCCTGGCCCAACCATATGCCTCCATGCCCAGGTTTCTGAGTGCCTGGACCAACTATATGCCTCCGCGCCCAGGTTCCTGAGTGCCTGGCCCAACCATATGCCTCCACGCCCAGGTTCCTGAGTGCCTGGACCAACTATATGCCTCCGCGCCCAGGTTCCTGAGTGCCTGGACCAACCATATGCCACCGCGCCCAGGGTCTTGTTTTCCTGCTATTCTGGTCTTTCACGAAAGTCTAATTTTTGAGACCGTGTCTTACACTGGAGTCTGGAGCTCTCTAGCTCAAGCTGGCCTTATGACAACCCTCCCGCCTCAGCTTAAGTGCTTGTGTTACAGGTGTGAGACATCGTGCCCAGCCTTAACGGTTTTTAAATTTTGTTTTCACATTTACTTATTTTGAGTGTGTTTGGGGAGCGTATGTGTGTAGAGGTCAGAGGACAACTTGCTGGATTGCACTTTTCTCTCCTATGTGGGCCCAAGGGACCCAACCCAGCTCTGGTCCTTAGACTTCAAAGCAGGTGGCTTTACTTGAAATTCCGACGAACTGTAGTTTATCTTTGTCCCCTACTCCCACCCATCTCTGGACTTGTTGCTTACTAGTCTCTTAGAATTTTATTTACTGCCGGGCGGTGGTGGCGCACGCCTTTAATCCCAGCACTCGGGAGGCAGAGGCAGGCGGATCTCTGTGAGTTCGAGACCAGCCTGGTCTACAAGAGCTAGTTCCAGGACAGGCTCCAAAACCACAGAGAGACCCTGTCTTGAAAAACCAAAAAAAAAAAAAAATTTTTTTTATTTACTTATGTGTTTGCATTGGTGTTTTGCCATGGGTTTCGGGTCAGTTGTGAGCTGCCATGTGGGTACTGGGAATTGAACCCAGGTCCTCTGGAAGAGCAGTCAGTGCTCTTTAACCATTGAGCTATCTCTCCAGCCCTTGACTAGCCTCTTGAAGGGCTCCCTTACATTTTCTCCAAATGCTTTACAGTTACCGGTTTCATATTTAGACCCACTGCCCATGCTATGTTGTTGTTTCTCAAGACAGGGTTTCTCTGTGTAGCCCTGGATTTCCTGGAACTCACTCTGTAGACCAGGCTGGCCTCGAACTCAGAGATCTGCCCACCTCTGCCTCGAGAGTGCTGGGGTTAAAGGCGTGCACCACCAGCCGACTCCGCGCTATGTTATTAAAGGCTCTTCTCTTTCCCTGGGCTGTTTCGGCAGCACCCGAACCACAATCCTTTTGCACCGTGCTGTTTGCATTTCTGTCAAAAAATGGATTGGCTGGGAGATGGTAGCAAGTGTGGGGCTCCATCCCTGGTGCTGCATAAAGCCGGTGTGCTGGCCCACACCTCTGATTCCCTCACTTGGCAGATGGAGGCAGGAGGACCAGAACCTCAAGGGCATTCTCAGCAAGTTTGATGTCAGCCTGGATGGAAGAGACCCTTTCTCAGAAGGGTTTGTTATGCTTGTGTGTTTGAGATCTCTGTTTTATTGACGTTTGTATCTCTACATCTGCCAACAGCACACTCTTCTTCATCAATGTACTGACATGGGTAAGCCTTAAGGGGCCAGCAAATGGCTCAGAGTGCAAAGCGCTCGCTGTGTGAGCCTTTGACCCCAGAACCCATGTAAAGATTGAGGAATTCCACCACAGAATGTCATACATGTGCCCCATCATCGTATACACAACCATCACAAAGGGTTTTTTAAGTACATGTCTATTTTTTTTTCTTTTTGGCTTTTCAAGATAGGGTTTCTCTATGTAGCCCTGGCTATCCTGCAACTCACTTTGTAGTCCATGCTGGCCTCGTTCTCTTAGAAATCCTCCTGGCTCTGCCTCCCAAAAGCTGGGATTAAAGGCATGTGCCACCACCGGTGACCTGTCCTAATTTTTTTTTTTTTGGTTTTTATGTTTGTGTCTGTGTGAGTGTCTGGGCACCCACATTGGCCGGAAGAGCATGCCAGGCCTCCTGAAGCTGGAGGTAAGGTGATTGTGAGCTACCCAGCCTGGATACTGGGAACTAAACTCAGATCCTCCGGGAGTCACCTTTGAAGAGCAGCAAGCGCTCTTAACTGCTGGGACAATATGAGCCCAACAACTTGGAAAGATTATTCTATCTGCTTTTTCATAAGTTTTAGGATAAATTTTATCGAGGTGGCACAGAGGTGCACACCTGTAACACTAGCACCGGGGAGGCCAAGGCTAGCCTGAGCTACATAGCTAAACCCTAGCCTCCCCACCAAAAAGATTTCTGGTTTATATTTGCAACTCTTCCTGAGCGTTCACCTAAACAAGCACATTGATGTCTGGAATATCTAGCCTTCCATTTCAACATAAATCCCGGAGGCTAGGGCTGTCGGTCAGTCAATGGTGCCCACTAATCCCAGCACTCACAAGGTGGAGGCAAGGGGACCAGAAGTTCATGGTCATCTTTGGCTATATAGCACTGAGCAAAATTCTTTTTCCAACCTTCAGATTCTGCCTAGGTAGGTGGCCAAATACAGGTTTTACTCATTTATGTAGGGATCTATCCAAAGGCTTTATCAATCTGGGCAGAGAGCCAGGTCCCCACTAAGGGGCTAGGAACCCAAGTCCCTGTCCCTTCCACCAGAGGGCAGCACGTCGTGACTCGCGGGTGGCGGGTAGCAGCCGGCGTGCTGCGGTAGTGTGGCGGGAAGCTGCAACGCTAGGCACCTAGTGTGGGTCCCCTGCAGGGAGGAGGCCAAGGTGGACATCTGGCCTTCTCTCGAGCCCTTCGCTCTCTGCGTCCGGGGCTGCTAGGACCTGAGGAAGGGAGGGCAGCTGTCCGTTCCGCGGCTCAGACGTGCGACAGACATGGATTCCAGCCTTGCCTCCCGGCCCCTGGCGACCGCAGCTCCTACACTGACCCGAAACCCCCTTTTCTAATCCTTCCAGTCTCCAGAACTGACCCCCGCCGGCGTCCTCGAGTCCCGCCCAGCGGAGAGGAGGACAACCGAGGACCTCAGCCCACGCCCCTCTTAGCCCCACCTCCGGCAGCTGGCCCCGCCCTCAAGAGCCCGGAAGTATCGCGAGACAGAAGCGCCCCTGCGCATGCGCGCGAGGAATGGCGTGGGCAGGGGAACGGAGGCCGGGAAGGCTACGAGACGACCGGTTCCGGCTTGGGGACGGGGGTGCGCATGCGCAGTGCGTCGCCCTCGTCGGCGCGCTTCTCCGGCGTTTCTGTTCCGATCGCTTCTTCATTGTTTTTTCTGAGGGTCGAGGGTGGCGGCGCGTCGAGCCGCACGCGAGCGAAAGGGCACCGTGGAACGGAGAAGGTAGGCGCGGAGACGCCGGGAGTGGGGAACCACGTGACGAGCGAATTAAAACCGGGAGTGGAGAGAACGGAAGTGGAGGGGATCGAGAGGCCGGGGAGGAAGAGGGTCGTCGAGGGCGCCCCCTTCTGGTTGCACCCTTAGGAAGCTGGGCAGGAAAGGGTTCTCCTGTCATTCATTCTCCCTGAATCCTGTTCCTTCTCCATGCCAGGGCCGAAAGCATGGCAGAAAACAGAGAACCCCGTGGTGCCATCGAGGCCGAGCTGGACCCCGTGGAGTACACCCTTCGGAAACGACTTCCTCACCGCCTGCCCCGGAGGCCCAATGACATTTATGTCAACATGAAGACTGACTTTAAGGCCCAGCTAGCCCGCTGCCAAAAGCTGCTGGACGGAGGCAGTAGAGGGCAGAACGCATGCGCTGAGATTTACATCCACGGCTTGGGCCTGGCCATTAACCGCGCCATCAACATCGCTCTGCAGCTGCAGGCAGGCAGCTTCGGGTCCCTCCAGGTGGCTGCCAATACCTCCACCGTGGAGCTGGTGGATGAGCTGGAACCAGAGACTGACTCCCGAGAGCCACTGACCAGGATCCGGAACAACTCAGCCATCCACATCCGGGTCTTCAGGGTCACACCCAAGTAATCGAAGCGGACTCTCACCCATCAGTTCCTTTGCACACACACATCCAGGCTCCGTGTGGCTGAGGTTGCTGCTGGTTCGTATGGCTCTTGTTCTGGGCATGGGCCTGTTGTCAGAGCCTTGTAAGAAAACACATGTTCCCTCAGCCTAGAGGACTGTAAATGGAGAGCCAAGAAGTGAATCCTCCTTGTCCTGTACAATAAAAGTATCGAGTTGTGTTGGTGCCGGGCTTCCCACGGCCTCTGCTTTCTTGTGTGATTCTGTGTGTGCTTGGATAGGAGCAGGAGGAAAGGGCACAAGTACGTGGGCACAGGAAAAGAACGCACATTGTACTACAGTGTGGCATGAATCGAATCTGTTGCGTGTATCACGGAAGCCCAATAGTTACAGCGTGCTCTTGGGAAGACTGGAGCGTAGGCTCAGCCACCGAGCTAACTGTAGCTGGGCTGGGTTCCCAGACTTGGGCCTAGAGAGGGTTTAAAGGTGAAGCAAGTGGGTTGCAGATATAACTGAATGGGGGAGTTGTGACCAGCGTTACCTAGTTACCTAGCACAGGATTGGGCCGTAGGTTCAATCCCTAGGAACCACAAGAATTACAAGAAGGTTGGAGAGATGACCCAATAGGAAAAGCACTTGGCAAATAATCGTAAATACCTGAGTTTGGATACCCAGAACCCATTTCACTCTGGGCACTGTAGCACTCAAATCTAATTCTTCTATAGTGAGCTGGGAGTCAGGAGGACCTTCTGCAGCTTTGGGTTAGCCACCCCTGCATAAACCACAGACAAGAAACCGTGTCTCAGGGTGGAAGGTGAGGACTGAAGGCTGAAATCCTGTAGCCCATGTACCCGTACTCGCATAATAACACGTACCTGCAAAACTTTTTTTTTTTCGAGACAGAGTTTCTCTGTAGCTTTGGAGCCTGTCCTGGCACTAGCTCTTGTAGACCAGGATGGCTTCAAACTCACAGAGATCCGCCTGCCTCTGCCTCCCGAGTGCTGGGATTAAAGGCGTGCGCCACCACTGCCCGGCCCTGCAAAACTCTTAAAAATGGGGTAGACTGTAGATTTTTTAGTTTTTTCGAGACAGGGTTTCTCTGTAGCTTTGGTGCCTGTCCCGGAACTAGCTCTTGTAGACCAGGCTGGCCTCGAACTCCCAGAGATCCGCCTGCCTCTGCCTCCTGAGTGCTGGGATTAAAGGTGTGTGCCACCACCACCCGGCTAGACTAGTTTTCTAAAATTAGCTTGAACTGATAGTATTGTTTGCTGAGAGCCAAACCTTGAGCCTTCATATGCTAAGAAGCGAGCCGATGCTCAGCCACCCCCGAGTTCTTCGATGGGTTCTAGGTAACCCGTCTACTGCTGAGCTAGGCCCCCAGCTCCTCACTGACACTTTTGACTGTTACACTTAATTCCTGTTCCTGCAGAGCCCACATCCTTCTGGGCATCTTTAGGCTAGAGTCTGATCAGCCAGGTTCAACCATTTCACGGGCAGAGGAAATCTCTCCTAAGTAATTTATTATTGGTTGTGGTGGTTAATCTTTGCTGCCAACCCGCTGTGATCTCAAACCCTCCAGGAGATACACCTTTGGGCATGTCTGTGAGGACCTTCCATAGAGGTTTAGCTGAGGTGGGAAGATTGGCCCTGAATGTGGATGGCACCATGCCATGGACAGGGGCCCAAACTAAAAGGCAAGTCAGAGGGCCCAGACAAGATGGTTCCGGGTTAAAGGCAAGCCTGACAACCCAAATTCAATCCTAGAACCCACATGATGGGAGAGAACCAACTCCTGAAAGTTACCCCTGAGACGCATTTGTTGGCTTTACGATCTACACAGTGGATCACAACTTTGTTCCTGAAAAGCCAGCTGGCCTAAATGGGATTGCATACACATGTAACCTCAACACTTCTGAGGCTGAAGCAGGAAGGTCTGAGTTTGAGACCAACCTCGGCTACGTAGTAAATTCAAAGCTGCTCTGAGTGACAGAGCAGGACACTGTCTTAGAAGCAAACAAAAACTCAAAAAAGGAAACCAGCATAGTGAAGGGATAGTTTAGAGAATTAGAGGGAAATCTTTGCCAGTCATACACTGACAGGGATTAATGCCTAGAATTATTAAGGTGTCCCCAAGTCACTCAAAGATAAATCATGTTATCAAGCTAATATGTTGAATACAAAGTACTCGGAGGGACTGGAGAGATGGGCTCAGTGGTTAAAAGCACCATTTGTTTTCCAGAGGACTCCTGTTCAGTTCCCAGAACCCATATGACTGCTCCAGATCCAGGGGACTCAGCACCATCTTCTGGCCTCCCTGGACACCAGGCATGCTCGTGGTGCAGACATACTTGTAGGCAAACCACATAAATAGAATTTTTAGCCAGGCAGTGGTGGTGCATGCCTTTAATCCCAGCTGGGCTTCAAATAAGAGGTTTCCAATAGACAATATTCATTATAAAAGTAGGAGGGAAAAGTCCCACGTGGAGGTTTGGTATTTGCTCAGCCTGTTTTCTTTTTTCTTTTTTTTTTCTTTTCTTTCTTTCTTTTTTTTTTTTTTTGAGACAGGGTTTCTCTGTGGTTTTGGAGCCTGTCCTGGAACTAGCTCTTGTAGACCAGGCTGGTCTCGAACTCACAGAGACCGCCTGCCTCTGCCTCCCAAGTGCTGGGATTAAAGGCGTGCGCCACCACCGCCCGGCCTGTTTTCTCATTTATGAAAAAAAAAAACAAAGATCTTAGCTGAGCAGTGGTATTGCACGCCTTAGTCTGGGCACTCAGGAGGCAGAGGCAGGAGTATCTCTGAGCTCAAGGCCAGCTTGGTCTACAGAGTGAGTTCCAGGACAGCCAAGGCTACAAAGAGAAACCTTGTCTAGAAAAAAAAATATATATATATATAATATATATAATATATATATATATAATTTTGTTGTTGTTGGTTTTCAAGACAGGGTTTCTCTGTGTAATATCTCTAGCTGTCCTGGAACTAGCTCTTATAGACAGTCTGGCCTTAAACTCAGAGAGATCCGTCTGCCTCTTCCTCCCGAGTGTTGGGATAAAGGAGTGTGCCACTATTGCCCGGTTGCATATAATTTTTTTTTAAAGAAAGCACTCAAAGGAATAAATAGTTTGGCCAATGAATATTTGAAATAACATTCAACATCCTTAGCTATCAGGAAATGCTAATTAAAAACGACTTGAGATTCCATCTCACCCTAGTCAGGATGGCTGTCAAGAAAACAAACTTAAGCCGGGTGGTGGTGGCGCAGGCTTTTAATCCCAGCACTCAGGACACAGAGGCAGGCAGATCTCTGTGAGTTAGGGGGCAGCCTGGTCTACAAGGGCTAGTTCCAGGACAGGCCCCAAAGCTACAGAGAAACCCTATCTCAAAAAACAAGAAAAAAAGAAAAGAAAACAAAGTTAAATGCTGCCGAGGATGTGGGATGTGGGATGTGGGGAAGACGAATCCTTATACACTGTTGGCGGGAGGGTGAACTGCTGCAGCCACTGGTGGAATCAGTGTGGAGCTTTCTCCAAAAACTAAAAGTGGAGCAACAACTACTATATGAGCCATCTAGACCACTCCTTGGCATGTACCCAAAGGGCTCCCAGTCACCATGCAACAGAGATGCCTGCCTGTCCGTGTCTCTTGCTGTGCTATGCACAATGCACCATACCAGCCTAGATGTCAAGCCACAAACGAACAGATAAAGAAAATGTGATTCAGGGCCCGAGAGACGGCCATGGTTCCCTTCCTGTTGCCTGCATATCAAGATGTAGCCAGCACCATGTCTGCACATGCTTTCATGTTCCCTGTCACGATGCTAACAGACTAAACATACACGTTATATCTGTGTGCAATGTGAATATATACCCACATACACATATATGTATACATACACGTACACATATGCATACATACATGTATACGCATATATGTGTATATGAAGTGAAGTTATTTGGTGAGAAGGAAGGGGGTCAGCAAGGAGAGAGGGAGCAGCAGGGAGGGCAATGGGGGAGGGGAAGTGAGAAGAAAGCATACGGATCTATATGTACGAAGACACCACAGTAAAGGACTGGGGATGTAGCACCGTGTTGGAGTTCTGGGTTACCACACAGAGCCCTGGGTCTATCCCCAGCATCTCATAAATTGAATATGGAATCACAAACCTGTAATTGCAACACTTGAAACATGGAGGCAGGAGATCAGGAGCTAAAGATCATTCTGGGTTCCACAGTGAGTTTAAGTCCAGGCTGGGATGCATGAGACTACACACACACACACACACACACACACACACACACGTAAGCATATATATGTCACCGTGAAACCCATTTATGTGTATGCTAACAAAAAGTGGAGCACGGTGAGGTGGTGGTGGCACAAGGCTTTAATCCCAGCACTCAGGAGGCAGAGGCAGGCGGATCTCTGAGTTTGAGGCCAACCTGGTCTACAGACTGAGTTCTAGGACAGTCAGGGCTATACAGAGAATCCCTGTCTCTGGGCTGGAGAGATGGCTCAGCAGTTAAGAGCACTGGCTGCTCTTACAGAGGACCTGAGTTCAATTCCCAGAAACCCCATGGCTGCTCACAACCAACTGTAATGAGATCTGGTGCCCTCTTCTGGCCTAAAGGCATAGATGCAGTACAGAATACTGTATACATAATAAATAAATACATCTTTAAAAAAAGAAGAAACTCTGTCTTTGTGGCATCTTCCAGAGACCTTTAGACTATGCCATTTAAAATATTTAATAATTTAGGCCTTTTCATGACAATGAGACACATCTGCTCCTGGCAGCACCAATTACTTCAAGAGGAAGATGGGCATCGAAGAGGTTTCTTATGGAGTTTGCTAGCCATTTGGGCAAGAAACTGCTCTTGTCTGGACTGCTTGATGTTATTCTGTGTGAACTGGACATGCAGAAATGACTGCTGAACTTGCCTAAAGGTGAGACGATCCTTCACGGTTCCTGCTTCATGGAAAAGTCTGCCGGATACTATGGGCCTGTGGGCTGAAGATTGGATGCCCCAACGGTACAGAAGAACTTTGGGTGACTGTCCAGGCAGTGAGATGTCTCTGTCAATTCTAGAGTTTTGGAAGTTGCTTACAATGCACTTTCTGTTTACTTAGGTAATATTATATTCTTTTGGAGTCTTTGATGGAGTTGAAGATTAGATAGTTATAATTATAGTTTTTGTTAATTATGATAAAAGATAAAGTAGATATAA